TTGCAATTCTGAGTCCATTCTTACAGCCCTTTCCCATAGATTTGTCCTTCAACTCCGCTGGGAATAGCTGCTTACACAATGACTGCAGCCTTAGCTTTGTAGTTATTTTTATCCATCCTCACTACTGAGCTTATTGCCAATATTGGTTCTACCATTTAATTAAGGTGAAGGAAGAAAAATGCAAAACTTTTTTTCAGTTATTTTTGTGCAATTTTTTTTTTCTCCACTTTATTTCAACAAAGAAATATTTTGGAGGGTGGATATTTCATATACTTGACATTTGGCCAAATGTGAATAGTTTCTGACAGTCTGCAGAAATTGCTGCTTTCATTTTTCTATAAATATTCGCTTATTACTGAGCCACAGTTTTGAATCACTTTAAAACTCAAAATTCGGGCACTTTGAAGGTGGTTCACAAGCAAACCAGATACCTCCACCTTGGAGATGGCAATACTGACCCATACTGGGCCAGGCAGGATGGGTGTCTGAGGGCAATGAAGGGTTTTGGTTTAATTGAATTCCCCACACCCCACCCTGCCCCGGTGCAAGTTGTATTCATGCTGTGAGTGTGTGTGTGTGTGTGTTGTTCTGTTACGGACACGGGTGCATTCCTAACCAATTCGATTAGATTAGATATCAGGAAGAAGTTCTTCATGGAGAGGGTGGAGAGGCACTGGAACAGGTTGCCCAGAGAAGGTGTGGATGCCCCATCCCTGGAAGTGTTCAAGGCCAGGTTGGATGAGGCTTTGAGCAACCTGGTCTAGTGGAAGGTGTCCCTGCCCATGGCAGGGGGGTTGGAACTAGATGGTCTTTAAGGTCCCTTCCAACCCAAACCATTCTGTGATTCTATGATTCTATGATAATTCTTCGACCCTTTGTTATCTAACTCCCTAAACCTTTTTAAAAGCTATCTAATACCAGGCTTTATTTTAAAACGTGCAGTCTGTAGCAGACTATATTATTGACTGGTAATTTTACTGTGAGAGCATCCGTGAGTCACGGTCAGGGACCAGGATCTATCGTACTTGGTGATGTGCGCGGCGTTAAGACAAAGATGATTAAAGAGCATAAAACTAGTTTTTTCTTTAATTTTCCTCCCACTCCAAATCATGGTGTGTTTTCTGGGACCCAAGAGGCTGCCTCACTGGAGGACAAGTGCATAAATATTTAAAGAACAGGGTTTTAGAAGAATGCTGAAAGAGTAAGGTTCTGCTTTAAGTCTAATTTTTTTTTTTTTTGATAGCTGAGGGTTGTTTCCACTCTTCGAGAGCACAGCTGGACAGATGACAGCTGAAGAGCTTGCCTTAAAGCCCATCTCACCATCTCCCTCAAATATTCCTGAAACCGCTTTTCCTCTTTCTCAGCGGAGAAGCCAGCACAGCGGGAAAAGACCTGACCCAGGGGCAGTGGAGGCAGAGTGCTCCCCCCTCCTCCGGGTTCCTCTCCCACTTTCCAGGGGAGGGACAGTCTCACTGCTAGCCGGAGGCTGGCAAAACGTTTGCCTTCCCCTGAGTCGGGTTGCAGCCAGAGGTTGGTACCCAGGCAGGTCAGGGTCCCCTGAGCTCAGCATCCCTCTTCATGCCACCCCCAAAGCCCAGCCCTGGCTGGTTGTCCCCAGCCCTCGTGCTTCCCTCGGGATTCTCCTCAGCAGCATTTCCTCTGTGCCACGGACACGGGGACCCCTCTCCCACCTGCTGCCCGCCCCACAACACCTCCTTCCTCCTGCAACTTTCCCTGAAAAACAAACCACCACCCCCAAACTCACATTTTTTCCAAGCAACCCTCCCACTTTCTGTTTGCCTCGCCCCCTCCCTCATTATCCTGGGTCTCACTTTTGTTTGTCTTGGCTATTTTGGGCTGAAGGCTCTTTGGGGAAGGGAATACAGTTTGTGTCACCTGCTTGGGATGTGATGTGTTTGATTCCATCCAGCTGAGGGAAGCTGAGTTGATAAATGAGGCATGAAGTGGCTGAGGAGTGTCCACCTGAGCGTGGGCACCTGATCAGCTCAATCAGCGTTAGCAGGTCTAATTCATTAAACAGATGTAATTTATGTTTAGGAAAAAATATTCTGTATTTTAAAATGCACAGGTGGTAGTTGAATGCGGAAGTTTCATGGAAATCCAGGCAAGGCTCTCCTCTGCTCTGGTGAAGTACAGCATATAGATAGGGCAGCTGTAACACAACTTAACCCTACTCCATGGCTGTGAGCAGCTTCTTCAGTGTTGCCATTCACGAGGGACCACAAACGTGTTATTTACAGTGGGACTTACGTACAATTAGTTGGAATAAGTACAAATGTATAAATTAACACCAGTATCATGTGCTGAAAAGCAACTGTGCTTTTCTGACAGCTCTGTTAAACTCCTTCCACTGATACATTTTTTAACTGGATTACACATAGAATCACAGAATCACAGAATGGTTTGGGTTGGAAAGGACACTAAAGACCATCTAGTTCCAACCCCCCTTCCACTAGACCAGGTTGCTCAAAGCCTCATCCAGCCTGGCCTTGAACACTTCCAGGGATGGGGCATCCACAGCTTCTCTGGGCAACCTGTTCCAGTGCCTCACCACCCTCTCTGGGAAGAACTTCTTCCTGATACCTAATCTAAACCTCCCCGCTTTCAGTTTAAACCCGTTACCCCTTGTCCTGTTACTACAGGCCCTTGTAAAAAGTCCCCCCCAACTTCCTTGTAGCCCCTTCAGGTACTGGAAGGCTGCAATAAGGTCTCCCCGGAGCTTTCTCTTCTCCAGGCTGAACAAGCCCAACTCTCTCAGCCTGTCCCCATAGCAGAGGGGCTCCAGCCCTCTGAGCATCTTCGTGGCCTCCTCTGGACTCGCTCCAACCGGTCTGTATCCTTCTGATATTGAGGGCTCCACAGCTGGATGCAGCACTCCAGGTGGGGTCTCACCAGAGCAGAGTAGAGGGGGAGATACTGCCTGATACTCTAACTACACTGCCAACTGTTGTATTAAATAGACCTGACGTAGAAAGAATCAGGAGGGAAATGTTTGTAAGAGGTGTGTGGCATTTCTCTTCGTTTTGCTGCCAGTAAGATGATTATTCTCATTTTAATGCCTCCAACAGCCCAAACCTCCACAGCTGGAAGTCCTGGAAATGTCTGGTCTCTTTTTGCAGATATGACACTCTCTTGTTGCCATCTTTTAAGCCTTTTAACCATCCATAAAAACAGTTTCTGTTGTAAAAGTATGTAAATTATCTCAAGAGAGTCAACACAAATTTAGGAAATTTTTGTGTGTGTTCAGCACCATTTCTCAGCTGCGTTGATCAATGAGATGCTAATACATAGGATATGAAACATAAAGGGGAGTTCATTCCTTTTGACACTAAGAGCGATGTGAGAATTCACTGCCAGTGAAACCTGGGAGTTTTAAAGCACTGTGTCACATCTGTACTCTCTGTAGGGTCAGCACTTCTGATGAGCACCTGTCATACCCTCCAGAAATCTCTCTCCCATTCTTTGAGTAAGATCCTCTCATCTGTAATAGAGGAATATTTGTCATACAAGGTTAAGTGCTAATGGCTTTTCCTTTTTTTATGCAAGGAAAAGAATATGTTGAAAGAAGTTCTTCACAGAGAGGGTGGTGAGGCACTGGAACAGGTTGCCCAGAGAAGCTGTGGATGCCCCATCCCTGGAAGTGGTCAAGGCCAGGCTGGATGAGGCTTTGAGCAACCTGGTCTAGTGCAAGGTGTCCCTACCCATGGCAGGGGGGGTGGAACTAGATGCTCTTTAAGGTCCCTTCCAACCCAAACCATTCTGTGATTCTGTGATTCTATGAAAAAAACAAGTAGTCTCTCTCCGCAGCCACCGAAGACTTCAGCTGGCTTTGTGCATGGTCACTGGTCCTTAAAATTCTGGGAGCTTTTGACACCAACACTCACACACTCCCTGTTCCCTTTTCTGGGGCCTTTTCTTTGCACAGGCCTCATTCTGTAGCTGAGGGCAATGGTAATTTTTTTTTTAGATATGACCTCTCCGTGCTCCCTTCCTTTAAACACAGAGACAATATGTGAGGGTTTCCAAGCCCGTCAGGGCCATGCATCATCCTTCCTCCATGAAATTACAAGCTGTGGTTAGGGCAAAGGTTGCGAGCTCTCCAAGAATGACACCGGGCCAAGAGCAATGCTGGGCCAAATGCGTCTAAGGAGTTGTGATCAGTTGTATCACATCCGCCCAGGCCCTCTGAACTAGAACCTTTCATCCTTTCTACCTTCCTTTACACCTGTAGGGTGAACATGAAAATCCAGTGCTGGTCAATATTTACTTGGCTCACATATTAACTACTACACCAGACAGGGACTAGCAGACAGCCAAGCCCAAGATAAGCTGCGAAATCCACGTGGTCGGTCTTTGTTATCAGTTCCTATTTCAGAGGCAAGAGTAAAACACCAGTCAAAAAGTACATTGAAAAATTTAATTGTTTTATAAAATAAGATTATGAAATTCTATATAAAAATCCAGCTTTTTAAATATGGTACATTCACTTCCTCACAGAATATTTAAATATTCAGGTCACTTACTCTACTTTTTCACCGTATTTGAGTTAAAATCCTTGGATAAATTAAAACATCCCTACCAAAAGATACCACAACTTATACAAATAAAACTAAGCAATAATACTTTTTTAAATACAAAATGTTAAGAAATTAATAACTCTTAGAGCATGCTACAAAATTTTGACAGAAAAATATATGGGACCATTTTTTGTTTAACTAGAAAATATACAGTGTGCTTTTCATTTCTCTTCCCAAAATTCATTCTCATACAATTTCCATTTAACTTAATAAATATGTACAACAAAAAGGTTTACTCTTCGAAGAATATAAATAGCAAATACTGTAGTAGAGCCTGGTCCAGCATTTTTTTCTCACCTAGTGACTATAGTGGGGTTTTCTACTCTCAATGTGCAAAAATGCAGAATCAGGCTCTTAGTGTTACCAACAGGTTAATAGCTTTTACAAAAGTGATTTTATTTAAAAAAAAAACCAACTCCAAAGACACTGCATAAGACTTAGAGCTATTACAGTCAGGCATTTCTATAAATAGTAAGACATAATGGAGGGAAACAACATTCCAGTTTAATTACTGCTGGCAGTAATTAGAGAAAAATTGTCAGTGGAGGATGAAAAATATCTTGAATTAGACACATCTTACTTTCACTGATTTAACTTGGTTCCCAATCATTTCCAAAAAGAGTTTCTGGTATAATCTATACATTGTAAATCTGTGAAGAAACTTAATCACCTTCTTCAGACTCTGGATGGTTGGTTTTGGAAAGTGGTACGTTTTCAAGTGCTTCAGTCCATACATCAAACCTTTAATGGTGTCTTGGTCGCTGTTCTTTACTCTCCACAGATTGAGAAGCTTCAGAACTTGCTCTGTAGGCTGACACAGTTTCATTGTGCGCTCGATATCTTCTTTTCCCACCTTCTTGCCCGGTAAGCTTGCCATCAGCGTGTTGAGATGTTCAAAGGTGAGGTTCGGGTGGCCAATATGCTTCAGGACAGTATTTTCACACAGATCGATATCTACAGGAAGTGAAAAGAGAGCTAAGTCCAAGGCATTACAACTTCACCATGGCCTCCAAAAAATACTTCCACAATTTCAAGGAGACTATTCCTTCCCAATTTTTTAAAATTTATTTCAAATAGCCCTCTCAGCAATGCTTTTTTATAGGCTCTATGTAGGAAAAGCACTTGAGAATTTAATTAACTTTGCAAATGCAAACAGCCTCAAATTACAAACACACTTAATGGTGAGTATTTATTGCTATACGCTTGATCCATCTATTTTGTAAAATGCTTCGTGTATGTGACAGGACCCTTAATACTTGCTTCCAGTGAATGAAAATTCTGCTCTTCTTCAGAAACGTCTAGGCAAGCTTTGCTAAAATAGTCACTTTTGTTTCTGAAATATTCTAGACACTTCACAGTCTGACATAAGCATACATATTAAAAAGGAGAGGGAGAAAAAAAAAAACATTTCTGCAGCTTTTTTCAAATCTATCGTGAGGAGACAAAAGGTCAGTCGCATGTGGTAGTTTCTGATGGTGGCTTACATGAAAAGAGCTGGCCTGACTCTCATAAAAACCGTGGTGTTAACACTGCAGCACTGTTTCACCTCTGACACCCATCTTGGCAGATTCAGCACAAACAAAGCCGAGAATTGGCATGACAAATAGGTATCGGAAGGGAGAAAGAAGAGAAAGCCTGTCTGTATATTCCTCATTCCCAGACGTTCCCATTCCGTGAATAGATGTCCTAGACCGAGCTGTCAATCTCCCCTTCACAGAAAACAAATTGTGTTCTCACTTGCAGGCACCCAGCTCCCTCGAACCTCGACAGCCACTGCTCAGATATAACAGCGGGAAATATCTTCTCCACCTGATCAAAATGCTTCACACGTTGTGCTGGTTTTGGCTGGGACAGAGTTAATTTTCGTCACAGCAGCTGGCATGGGGCTGTGTTTTGGATTTGTGCTGAAAACAGTGTTGATAACACAGGGATGTTCTCGTCACTGCTGAGCAGTGCTTACACAGAGTCAAGGCCTTTTCTGCTCCTCACGCCACCCCACCAGCGAGGAGGCTGGGGGTGCACAAGGGCTTGGGAGGGGGGACAGCTGGGACAGCTGACCCCAACTGACTAAAGGGATATTCCATAGCATATGACATCATGCTCAGCACATAAAGCTGGGGGAAGGAGAAGGAAATTGGGGACGTTCGAAGTCATGGCATTTGTCTTCCCAAATAACCATTACACGCGATGGAGCCCTGCCTTCCTGGAGATGGCTGAACACCTGCCTGCCCATGGGAAGTGGTGAATGAATCCACTGTTTTGCTTTTCTTGTGTGCAAGGCTTTTGTTTTACCTGTTACACTGCCTTTATCTCAACCCATGAGTTTTCTCACCTTTACTCTTCTGATTCTCTCCTGATCCGACGGGGAGGAGTGAGCAGCTGTGTGGTGTGTAGTTGCTGGCTGGGGTTAAACTACAACAGTTGTGCAGCTGTAGTTTAAAATTCTCAAAAGGGGATCATGGCTGTGATACCACACATGCTCCCGTGGGGGTTGCAAGTCTGGGAAGAATTCAGCCCTCGACTGACCGGGAGAAGCTGAATTCGCTTTCTGCTTCCCCTCAACCTCACTGCGCTTACTGCTTCCATAAACCTCAGTCAAGCCCTGCACGTCCCTCTCAGAACATAACACGTCACCGGGAGGTATTTGACCCCAAGCAATTTTTAAATGTCATTTAGAAGGTTGTTTTTAATATACGTGCTATCAAAATACGGTACCTTGAATAATCTTCTTGACCATATCCTGTTCCTTGTTTTGCTGCTTCCATAATTTCATAAGCTGGAAGGTCTGCTCTTGAGAACTGTGCCTTTGTTTAATTCTTTCAATATTTTCTGTGCTAAGCTTTGTCCCAGGCAAACTGTCTGCTAGTATGTTCAGCCAGTTAGGTGTGAGCTGAGTAGGAACAGCAAACCTGAACAAAGCCTCCTCGCACAGGGTTACATCTGAAATGAGAAAGAATACGTCAGTTGTTCTGATCTCTGTTACCCTGCTTGTCTGAAAAAAGAGCAAGCAGCAAGGAAGGTAAGAAAAAGTGTTTAAGAAACAAACGGAGAAGTGGCCTTTATAATGCTGCTACTCTCTGTGCTCGAGTTCCATTTGGTCTGACCTACAGTAATTAAAACTCTACTGTAGCCATCACTGTAGCAGGCAAATGGCTAACACACTAGCTGTTTTTATCATAAATGCTGATAGATCCATTTGAGCTATAACTGAGGGTCTCTTTTCAAAACACTCTTCCTTAATATGATACATACCTATTCCGCATTTCTGAGGTGCCGTATCTGTATTTTCCTGGCAGACGTTGTCACGAACTGCATTTCCCTTTGACGCTGTTTTGAAACCCAGTGCACTACAGTTTGTGTGCTTTAGGCAGGCTGCTTTGGATGATGTTTCATTTGAGAAAAATCCTTCTGGACATCTCTTACACACAGTGTCACTCTCAGGGGTACCTGTGGAAACAGGAAAACAATTCATCCAATTATATATAACCTCAACTGTGAAAAAAAATACAATACTAAAATAAAAGAAGATGTTCCTTGCAAAATTGTCGTGTTTCTGCTTTTCACCTTTCTGATCTATGAAGGAATCACATTTAGGAAAAACAAGCAAACAAATAATAAAACCCCACACTTCAATTTTTAAAAACAAAAGAGATTTTTTAAGGGAATGATGTTTCTGCTGGAGTAACAGAGTAAATAGTACTCTTACATACAATTGTTATCAACTTTAAAATCAGTAATTACTGATTAAATCAGTAATTTAGTAATGTCTTTAAATCAGTAATAATACTTGAGTCTCTTCAGACATTACATGATGTCTGACCTTCATCCTTCACCTGTACAAATACTCTGTAAAATAATTAAATGGCACAAGACACTCCTCTGAATGCGATTCTGTAATATCTGCCCAGAACCTTATTCAAACGGGGTATTTCAGTTGTAGCCAAAAATATAGCTCAACCGAATATCAACAAAAGACCCTCTGAAAAGTACTTTCCCTGTTTAGCTATGAAATTACAGAGGAAAATAGGAATTCAGTAACATTTTTGAACTTTTTTCTGGGCTTGAATAAAATCTTATTTAAAGCAAAGAAATAGGTCATCCAATATAGCAAAAGTATTTAATACATACATATAAAAGTAAAACACCAAGCAAAATATAAGACATTACATTTTACTTCAGATTCAACAATATGATACAATAATGGTTCCATCACACTGAAAGAGGAAGAACATTAATGCGTGAACTTTTAAACAGTGCAAACAGTTTCACCACCAGCAGCATGAAAGTAACAGCACCAATAAATACTGTATATTCACTATTAATTCATCTTTATTCAGCCAACACTTAAGCAAGTGTCTAGAGTCTAATACCTAATATTGCATTACTGAATAGGAACTTAAGCACATGCTTAAAATTCTTTGGAAACTGTATTTGAATAAGAAAATACCTCCATCTAGTGTATTTTGGAAGTATGTACATGTGTATGCTTATTTTCATGCTAGCTTTTAAGTCAATTTTATTTATTTTCCTTACAGAAAAAGACCACGAATCTCAAGTTTTCAACCAGCCTTGAAACAAAGAATGAACACTTGCATACACCAGCCCTAGCACTCCTCTCATCAGCAAACACGTGAAAACAAAGGGGAAGGTTTTAGCTGTTGTGCATCTGGAAATCAGAGACCCTCCATACTGCCAAACGCCTCATCTCCTCCCCTTCCCGCAGGCAGCATCCAACGGGCAGCAGCAGCACCTGCCCGGCTCTGGGCTGCAGGGAACTCCAGCCAACACCTGCACCTGAGCGGGCAGCCATCTGCTCCTCTGAGAACTCTCAGTTTTATCAACCTTCCCTGCCAGGGACACACTGCTGTTGTGTTCCAGCAGTGAGGAAGAGGAACAAAGGAGAGTCCCTGCGAACGGTACGTCGTTCTGTGCTGTCGCCCACATAACCTTCGCGGCACGAGTGGAAATCCATCTGCGTTCTCAGGGTTGAGCAGAAAGTCACCTCCCAGCTTTGCTAGCTGCTGCTTCGCTGCTTATCTGGCCGCTCTCGTTCAGGGCACAAACTGCCGCAGCCCGGCCGCCCTTCCGCCGCTCCCTCCAATTCACCTGGAATCCCCCATTCTCCCCAGGGAAAGGGCAGCCGCCGGCGGGGAGATAGGGCTGCTTCCCCAGCACGCTGCTGCTAAAAACTGCCACGCACGCTGCTGCAAAAAGGAATCCAGCCTTAATCTATGCTCCTACAGGGGACTACCACAGTAAAGGGATCTGCCCAACGAAATCATGAGCCACCGGCAGTGGGGAAACAGATTTCTAATGCTTTAAGCTTTGAATGAGAGGCTGGACCACACTATCCCCCTGTGTGGCAGTGGAAGCATATTTTTCTACCCTTATTTCACCTGCAGCACCTCTGCTATGGGGACAGGCCGAGAGAGTTGGGCTTGTTCAGCCTGGAGAAGAGAAGGCTCCGGGGAGACCTTATTGCAGCCTTCCAGTACCTGAAGGGGCTACAAGGAAGCTGGGGGGGACTTTTTACAAGGGTCTGTAGTGACAGGACAAGGGGTAACGGGTTTAAATTGAAAGTGGGGAGGTTTATCAGGAAGAAGTTCTTCCCGGAGAGGGTGGTGAGGCACTGGAACAGGTTGCCCAGAGAAGCTGTGGATGCCCCATCCCTGGATGTCTTCAAGGCCAGGCTGGATGAGGCTTTGAGCAACCTGGTCTAGTGGAAGGTGTCCCTGCCCATGGCAAGGGGCTTGGAACTAGATGATCTTTAAGGTCCCTTCCAACCCAAACCATTCTGTGATTCTATGAATTTATGTCATTACATAGTTCAAGGCTATCGTATGGCAGAAACCAGGAACACTGCATAGTCCATACTTACTAAATTCATAAGTCAATGCCTCACCTCAAAAACTGACTTATTGACACAGGGGGATGTAATTATTTTTACAATGTTTTCATTCCTTGTTTGAGGTCTGCTTGGGTTTAGCTGGTTCATTCTGGTGGGCTTCTGGAAACCAACTTTCCAATAAATTACATGATTTGACAATTTATCTTCTTCCAAACTTTGCTGCATCTTGAACTGAGGGATTCAAATTTGCCCGCCGTGGTTTCATCGTGCTCGTGGGGACGCAGCAGGCTGGTTGCTCAGAAAATTTATACTGCTTTGTTCACCTCCCAAATGGTCTTTCCTAGAACTTTGTTTCTGGCCCCTTTCAACTTGCTGACAAGGTATGGTGCAACCTCATTAACCCAGGCCCCTGGGTATAACGATTTAGGTTAATGAAGGTTTATAATATGGAAATGAGGTAGCTGCCAGTGGAAATGCTTAACAGTGCCAAGGGCGTCACGGTGATGCTTAGTTAACCAGTTACTCAGGGACTAGTGAGGAGCCGCAGCAGCGACATTGCTCCTCACATCAAAGCTGTTTCCAGTGCGATGTTCATAACCCGAGAAAGGACTCCCAACCTGTCATTCGGCTAGGCTCTAAAATGGACAGGCCAGCCCCAGTGCTTGTCACTGTACATATGTGATGCACAGGGAACTAATTCTGTACTCTGGAGATCGGTTGCCTATGGGTTCATGTCTGAGATGCTTTGATTTTCTGTGTTCCCTTCCTCAGTGCCCTTCTCCGGGCAGTTATCCACCGCCGGTACGACGACTGTTTACAACTCTTTCAGACTGTATGAAATACTGGAGCTAAACTGGGCCATGACATTTGCCAAATGATAAATGATGTATTTTGTTTTGCAAGAAGAACTTATTATTGGCTTAACAATTTCTGTTGTCTTAAATGAAGAATACACTCTACTGAAAAGCACCGCTTTGCTCTGTATCCCCACCAGACCTGCAGCACAATGCCAGCCTGCTTGACAAAGAAACAGTTGTTTGTTTGATAATAGCAACAGTCTCCCTAAGAGTTCCACTTAGGATGCTGATAATTAATTATTACCACATATTGCTGTGATGCTAGAGCTATATTAATATGGTTATAATTATACACTTGGTGTCAAACACGTAGTGCTCCTGGTGTTTGTCAAGATATACAGTTGCTTGAAACAGCAGATTTCAAAATGAAAAACATTATTATTTATCACACACACAAATACTACATTCCAGATAATGTTCCTTTAAAAGAGGCAATCCATCATGTTTCTCATTAGAGTGCAATTTGCTACATTTGCTACTGCCATTAAGTTATACATTACAGTAGAAGCAGGGTATTCCACTGAGAAATGTTCCCTTGGCTACAGTCCAAAGGATGCAGACTAGGAACAGGTTCAATTGGCTTTACAATTTACTGTCCTGTAATTTCATCTGGACGAGCCTCTTCCCTAATCTTGTAACGGCCACGAGTCGTCAACGGGCGGCAGAGCTCTAATTAAGTCTGTGTGCACGGACAAGCGGTACGTACCTGGCTGCACCACGCCAAATCCGGGAGGACACTCCGTGTGCTTTAAACAAAACTCGAGCTCCAGGTACCTGCCTTCGACGCACTCGCAGACGCGGTCCTGCGTGCTGGTGCACTCCTGCTTGACGTACTGCAGCTCCTTGCAGACGGCGCTGCAGTACTGGCATTCGTCGTTGCTGTTCCACTCTTCGGCGTAGTACTGATCCGGACACGGGGCGCACTGCGTGGGGCTGGTGGCCGTGCAGTGCTGCTTTACGTAGCTCCCAGGAGGGCACTGGTCACACTGCAGCGGACGAGATGTCTCTGGGTCGTAATGGGGATACTTGGGGGGAGAGTCATGCTGGGTGGTCCACTTAACAGCAATGTCCAAGAGCTAGCAACGGGAGAAGAAAAGAGCGCTCGCTTTAGTTCTGGGGAGCACCGCGGTCATAAACAAAACTACGTTTTAATGAGTTTATGAGTCCAGCCATGTCGCTATCTTCAATAAAATGCCAGCGTTATAAATTTATAAAATATGACCCAGCTTCCGGACTCTCCCATGTCTGTCTGGCAGAAATTTTAGGATCTTACCCGGCAAATCTTCCCAGCGTTAAGTACTTCCTTGTTCTTCCAGAGATGGAGTTCCTATTCTTCCCCCACTTACACCCTTTTAATACCACTGGCAATGACCCTTTACCGTCTGGCACTGGAGAAGCTGGCTCACTGGTTTCACTGGCATGGCGCTCCACGCACAGCAAAGCAGGGGTTACGCTCTTCTCGTTCCGAAGCACCAAGTACTTCAGATGCAAACGAAATGTAAGCAGCCGAGCATACACACCTGACCAGCGTCCTGCACCACTACCGCAGGCACCTTTAAGGATGATTCCTTAAATATTTCTTCTTACCAGCAATGGCTACAACAATATAGGTTACTGTTTAATGCCTTCAGTTTAATCTTGCACTGAAAAGCAGCAGCTCTGGGGATAAAACGTGGCAGCTGCACCAAGAATGAAGATACAGCCTCAGGCAGAGGTGAAGAATGCTGCCGTTTATGAAAGTTACCTTAAGGCCTTAATTGCAGGAGCTGGAAGAGGCCAGGCTAATGCTTTCACTTCCTACCTAAAACCACAGGTCATGACCACCACACTGCTCCTGCGTCCTGCACCACTCTGCTTTGCTGGTGCCGTTGGGGTCCAGCAATCTGGGATGACCCTGCCCTTCCGCAGAGGCAACCTCCATATCACCTCGTTTTGGTCTTGCAACTGAAAACTTTGTTCTGTGATTCCACCAGCCTACCAAAAAAATAACTCTCAGGTTTAGTCCCTGTGTTCTGCCCGGAGCCCCACAGGGTCTGACAGCAGCTCACTCTCCCCACTGAGAACCCGGCCCTGTCCCAGCACTGCATGACCAATGTGGCACTTCTCTTCCAAAACTTGTATATTTTATACAGATGGAAGTAAACTGGCTCTGAATTAAGATTTTTTTTCTATGCATCCATTCAAATTATAGATCCAACTGACTTGTCTTTGTTGCTATTTTAATCCCAGTCAGCTAATACAGGGTTGCCAATTCAGTTTCAAGAACATATTTTCCTCTTTTCCAATGCAGATGTTCCCAAAGTGTAAGTGGAATTAACACTTTTTATTCATTCAGACTCTGCATTTCCTAAGGAGGCTTCACTTAAGGGCCCCACTGCTGCCAGAGCATAACACTTCCTAAATGATAGTCTTATTAAGGTTGGAAAGGACAATTCAACCATTCATCTGCATTAACACAACTCACGGCGTTTGCACCAAGTAATATCAGGTGCCTAAATTAGGAACTCTTACTGCATTCTCCTGTTGCCTGCCTATGAATCTACTTTTTATACAACTATGCTTAGGCTGAAGAATGAAATGCAGGTAGTATGGATATTCCCCACAGCTTCTTCTAGTTACCGACCAAGCCCTGTAACTTGTCTGACGTGTGATTTCTACAGTGGAGGTCCCACTTTTTCTTGTCTCAACGCACAGTCTCTTCCACTGTGAGAAATTCATTATTACTCACTGAAGTTTGATGTACCGCTCCATTTCTCTTAAATGACTGGATCTATTTCATGTGATCTATTAAACAAGAGGGTGCGGCACATTTTTTAATAGTGAATGGCTTTCCATTGATGAAAAACGCACCCACCCTTGGTAAATCTACAGCTATCACTCTAGTCATAAGGAAGTCCTGGTAATCCCATTAATTGTTGACGTAACCAGTCAAGTCTTCTTCTACGTTTTTTATTCAGTAACAGATAATACAGCATTCCAGAGTCCAAGACTTCACGGAGACACGCATTCCCTTCGCAGAACATAACGGACTGCAACACGTGGCACAGATGCTACCAAGACAAGCATCAACCCACATTTCATGCAGGTGTCTGTGGAAACGCAAGACAATACCCAACACAGATGAAAATCTGACACTGTGAAAACGATTAGGGACGGCAACCAGGCATGAGGGCAGCATGTCCTCATGCAGAAATGCCGATTTTCCTTCTCTGCAGTGCACTGCTCACAAATCCCAAGCTGTCACTGCAGCGGAATCTGCGGAACACTTAGGCCATTTCGTGACTGCTCAACTCCCCTCTGCAACATGCAAGAGCAAGAACAACAACATCTTCTCTATCTTCCTTACTCAGCCATTTACACTGGAAATCATATATGGGGGAAGTTTAGCTGCAGCAGGTGATTCAAGATTAAAAGTAATTCAAATCCTATAATCAGGGTATGAGAGCATGGGGTTTTGTAGGCAAAGATGGAAGCACTTGCTTCCTGAAGAACCTACAGCTAGATGAACCAAGCCAATAAAAACTGAAAACAATTCAACACAATTTGAGAGGAATTGATTTTAAAAATCGAGCAAAGAAATTACTTGAACAATTCGTGTGTGAGACCACGCGAAGTTTTGCCTTTGGAAATACTAATAGCTATGAACTATTAGTGGCAATCAGAATACTATTAATCTAAATGAGCATAACCAATAACCATAATAACAGGATTAATAAATCAGCATCACTAAAAGGACGATCAGCCTTTGCATTTCATTTTTCCTTTGTGTTTTTAAAAGCACATCACACTTGCCTTCCCTTCTTTCCCAGAAACGCACGTTACGAAGCTGCAGTGATCCACAGATCACTGGCTGAGCCATATGCATGCGGGATCCAACTCGTTTCTTTGGTAAACACTTAGGACACAAGATTCTTCAGTCAAATCTCTTGCCCAGAGTAGTTGTGGATGCCCCATCCCTGGAAGTGTTCAAGGCCAGGCTGGATGAGGCTTTGAGCAACCTGGTCTAGTGGAAGGTGTCCCTGCCCATGGCAGGGGGGTTGGAACTAGATGGTCTTTAAGGTCCCTTCCAACCCAAACCATTCTGTGATTCTATGAAATTAAAGCTATAAGTGCAATCAATAGCTCAGTATTTTACCAGAACATTTGATACATCCTTTTCAACACAGAGCTAGGTTACTGTTGCTATTACTGGTTGACTACTATGATCCTGTTAGTACAGTGAGCTGTGCAACTCACTGCCACAGGACACTAAACAGTTGAGTTCAAAATGTTACTCGACACAGTAATGGAGGAAAATAATAAAGGGCTATGAAGCATAAATCTCACCTTTTGATCAGGAAATCCAAAACCACAAATTGCTTCAATTTGTAGGGGCGTTTTGGAAAAGTATCACTATTTTTCTGCCTTTCTCTTCCATCTCCTCTGTTCATCAGTTATCAGCCCCTGCCATAGACAGCATATATGGGGCTTTTTAGGGCATCTTTTTCTGGATTATTTTTTTCTTAGACCCGGTACGGCCATTAGTATGTTGTCAAGTCCATTTCTAGACCCCCAATACCACACTTCCTCGTAAGACTACTGTAGGTTCCTTAATAACACTTAGAATAGATCTGCAAGACCATCTCCTGTGCAGACTGAAAACACCTAGCACACGTGAGTATTGCAAGCGTTAATATGCAACCTGAAAATCAGAAGTTAGCCTTGAACCCACATCAAGTGCCACAGCAAAAACAATCTGTTTTTTCAGAAGTTTTGCAAAAATGCAGGAAGAATAGTGGAAGGTAATTAAGTACAATTTTTACTAGTTTTACTGCAGCAACCTGGCACTAACAGAATGAAAATACTCTTCTTGTCCCCCAGCTCACAGAATAAGCTGGAAGGAAACATCACTAAATTGTCCTTTCTCCTCGCCAAAGACATACTGAATTTGAGCTTACATTAGCAAGTTGGATCACCTGTTACAGCAGATTTGTAGAGCAAAACAGATGGTGCTAAGCACCTGACATCCCCATAATGCATGATTCAGAGGGGGTATTTTGGACTAACTTCAGTCTGCTCTCACGGACCGAGCACGCATTAGAGGTTACAGTGCATCTGGCGTGTCTCTGGAGTCCATCACTGGATTTAGATTCATCAATCCAGTTTGCTTTTGTAATTCCACTTTGTGCATTCCAAGTCTGCTCTGATGTGCAAACAAAAATACAGTGAACAAGGATGATCAGGAGAACCCCTTCAAAAGCATGTTCCCAAATCAAATTAGAATGGTAATCAAATGCATTTTATGTCATTCCTGATATTTTCTCCTCCTAAACTATCCTATGAACAACTTGGTAGCATATTCTCAGCCACATAAAACCCCTGATTGACCTGAATGCCCATATTTAAAGGTGGGCTATGTACCAAACACCTGAACCTCTGCAGTAAGAAACAGCACTCTTCAAGCACGTGAAACTGCCATGATCAGAACTTACTAGTTCTGAACACTGGTCTTCCCAAAAGCTTCACAGAAAGCAGGATTTCTCCTACAGTCATGCTGGCACTGGCCTGTTTTGCTATTGCTGGAGAAGACGGCGCATTCCAGCTTGAAAGGAAGAAGATACTAGAAGTCTGGCTTCTGTTGACTGGAATCAGAAGTAGGGACAGTAAGCATGTTCACCCTCTATCCCTTAAGCTGGAGTCTGTCAGTGCTACACTGGCCAAAGTCCTGGATTTGTCATTCAGAAGACTGCGTAAAATTCTGCTCGTCCTTGTTCAGGAAAGGCAAATTCAGCCGCAAAGGGGTACAGAAAAAGTTTAGAAGGAAATGGAGATCTTCTTTAAGAGGATCTTGACTTGTTCAATAGCTTGGCCAGTCAAAAAGGTACCTACAGCATCAGTACAGACAGTGAACACAAGGAAAGAGAAGAACTTTCTACGTTAAAGGATAATGCTGGCAAATGAAAAGGGGATTCTCTCATCAGAGGAAGTGTGGGAAGACCCTTTTACTGAGAAGCAGGTGCAAGAAACCCAAGTAGTTTAAATATAGCTCTCAGTGCATTTCTGAAAGTAAATATGCCATTTTGTTTCCTGGATGAGCTGGGGAACAGACTGAAAAGACCACGGCAGTTTCTTTCCATTTTAAACCCAAAGTAAATCCTTTCTATCCCAACTCTGATGGAAGCCAATGATAATAACTGTTAGTCTAATTCAGAGTGCCCTCAGCTGCAAATGGATGTCCTTGGCACAGCGAAATGCAAGGCTCAATTTAAAAAAAAAATCCCAAAGGTTGGAGTTCTTTGTTCTACGAGTATGAAATGTTACCAGGACCAAAGTAATTACAACAAAACAAGACCAGAACAAAATCTAGCATCATTAACTACATCTATCAACCTATTAGATGAAATTCAGTTCTAGTTTTCTGGGCTCAGTTCTGAAAGGGCTGAAAAACTCAGTCCCTGTCCATCTCCCTGGACCAAATCCTGGGTACCTCTCAGGATAGCTGCCTCTGTGTGAAAAACTGGGACAAACTGCGAATACTGGAATGCAAGTCCAGTGTAAGTCAGCGTCATGCAAGTAAACACTGAGAACTTACTCAAAATGCGTTACCCAAGGTTAAAAAGCAATTCTTTGATTGTGTCACTCAACACATTAAGCCTGGAGCTATATTTTTCCATACCATCTTTATGTCAGCATACACAATGCTAACATAAAAGGTCTGTGAAGTCCATTTATTTGAGCCCTTAGAAGATGCTTTGGAAAGAGAAATAATGTGATTGTAAAATTTCATTTCAGATCTCGAGCATGAAAAAAGTACACGCCCTTCTCTTTAATCTTTAAATGTAAGGCAAAGAGCTGCTCGCTTTTTCTTGTTGAATTAAAATGAACTGGAAGACAAAGCACATAAAGCAAAAATCCTTCAAGCATCATCCCCTTAAATCACTGCTTTGTGAGAGAAAAGAAAGTGGCTTTTCAGCATATGAAAATATTATTATATAGCTTGGCTTTGTGGTTTCGGGTTGTAGACCAAAGGAGAATGTTTAATTTGGTGAGAAAGATAAATCTGTTTCTGTTTTGCATTCCACAACTATTCCAAAGCATATTTTCCTGTGTGATAAATAATCGTTCGAGGCATCTGTCAGATCGCTCCTAGTGTTTGCATTGGGTTCAAAGTAAAACCTCACAGCTCTCCTACTTTGCGTTCTGCACAAAGTATTTGGACCAAGCTGAGGCAGGAGGCCTTCACGTACCCTCAGCCCTTAGGCAGAACGCCTCATGGAAATCAGGCACACGCTCCAGAGAAATCCCAGTGGCAAAACGTAGCAGTGAATGATCTTAAGGCGGTCCTCCCACTCAATAGTGTATCACATCAGAACAGAATCCCTCGGTGCAGGAGAGGACAGTCTGGGTCAGATCTCATCCCCCTCACCCTGCTGTTCCACCATGAGGGTGGGCCTCATGCGACCACCCAATTCCACCTCCCCGGGCTGACAGCCCCGCAGAGCAGCCGAGCCCCGAGTCGCTGCGGGCCCGCTGAGAGCACAGCCCCGACACCTCTGGGCAGGCCGCAGCTGAGCGACAAGAACACAGCCAACCCTGAAACGGAATCGCTTCCGCTGGCGTGAGTTCAGCTGATAAAGCCGTTCCACCATTCTGCCCACTGCTGCCGGGCAGCCCGCTCCCTTGGGGCATACAGGCCCTGCTGTTGTGTGGAAGATGCTTTCTGAAGTGGGGGCTGCTCTTTTACACCAGGAATGTAACTAGTGACTCTCCTGACCCACCTGTCTTCAAAACTGAGGCCATGACCACCGTTTTCATTTCTCGGACAGTAAAGCAGCATGTCCACAATTCAAATCTCAGAGTTTGTGAGGCACCATTAGCTGTCATTCACAAAGCAATCAAGGGGTCTAAACTATTGTTTCATTTTCAGTTGTAGGAAAACGACTTTCAGCTTGAACAGTTTTACATTTTATCAAAGAGATGCTAAATTGAAAGTCTTTGTTTATGTGAGTTACGTTTGCCTGGAAGCTTGTGGAAGGAAAAAGCAGAAGAGGCCAACTAGCTACTCACCAAAAGATGTGTCTTCTCCATAATTTGTATTTCGGAACATCATTCGCCAGAGTGACAGCAAGATTCAGAGATAACCCAAACGTGGGATGTTACCACCGTGACTACAGTCTGCCTTTGCACTGAACAGAATTACTAACAACCGATTACTAATTACTAACATTCCTTCTAGCCAGAGGAACACTATGTCCGGTATTATGTGCAAACAGGTGGTTTTTCTCCAGGAAGACCATCAGAGTAGTAAATCTACCAGCACAAAAGTTAAATACAGAAGGAACATAATTAAAGTTTCGGTGAGATTTGAACAGTGGGTGTTATTTAAATTGTGACTATCTTTTAAAAATTCTTCTGGTAACCTTGGTGGTTTATTTTTAACCAACACACATGCAGACAGACAGAAAAGTCAGACAGAAAGATAACTCCTACCCTCGCGGGCTGCAAAGCCACTGCTGCCTACACACAGCAAACTCAGCAGGCCGGCCAGAAAAAGCACGTCACATGCGCCCAGAGATCCAAAATAGAGAAAGGTCAAGTTTAAGGGTTGAGATTGTTACGTGACAAGTAATGAGATCCAGCCCTGGGGAATTTCTTTCAATTCAGTCTGATTTCATAACGCTTGTCTGTTTGTAAGCAGTTTTAGTGTTCCAGCAAACAACACGTACATGCATGCACCACCACAGCAGGACCCCTGTCTGAAACCCTAGCAAAGAGGCAAAGGCCGAAAGCACATCATGCCCAAAGAGTCTTTTTTAGGTATGGTGTTGCCAAACTAGGTCTGTTATATGAGCCAAGCACACACAACTTCGAACTGCTGGGCACCTTACAAGTGTCCTGATAAACCAGGTCCTAGAACTGCTTTTCTGAGCTCTAGCACATCTGACAGTGCTTAAACTCTACACTACCTTTATATAAACTGCTTTTAAATAATAATAATGATTAAAAAAATTTGAATGATGAAGGTCTCTGGCATATTTCACCTCCAAGACTCATCTGCCAGAGGATTATACTGAACTTCACCAAACTCATGGGAGAACATGAACCGGCACATTCCATTTAATCAAAATCATAATACTGATGTAATTAATTTATGGCAGCCACAGATAAGAAGCCAAGCTGATAACAGGCTATTGCTGAAATTTCCAGATCAACTTCCCCTGCTTTCATATAGATAAAGAAGGCACAACATCATATGAGATGAAAAAGTCGCCCTGCGTTTCAATTTGCTGACCACGAGCCTGACAATTTTTGCTTCCCTTGCACCATTAATTACTTTGGTTTGTTTCTCAAACGGCTCTTTCAGAAAGTTGTACAGAGAGTAATAAACATGCATTACTCATCGGATCCTGGAAATCTCGTTGCATTTATAAAAAGCTTTCAATATCAATGGATCTCAGTTCTAACGCTCTGCCACAACATTAATGCCACTGTACTCACCAAAACAACCCAGGAACAACTTACGGCGCAGGCATACCTCCCTGCCCCCTCCGAATATCATTTTTTGATGGTTTTCTTTGAATGTTTTCTTATCCAAAGGATGAATAGCTTTCTAATAGACGTTACACAGGATCTCTCTGTACGCAGGTTTTAATTAATCTGACCTCATACACAATTCCATACCGCTAAATGGATTAAACAACATTTTGAAAGATTTACTGCACTGCTAACATCTCTAAATTGGCATCTGGAAGCATCTTGCTAAATCACCAAGTAAACAAAAACTTATTAAAGCTGGAGCTTATACCAGATTTAATAACACAACTTTTTCTCTAATAGCTACTGACACAGCTACTAATTCACCACCTTCTTCCACACGAAGCTGAATTTTCCAAGCCAAAACAAGCACCACACGCTTGTGCTTTTTTCTGGAGTTCGCAGTGCTTTTCCCGGGTAAGAAAGCCAGCCGGGTATCTGAGATACTGCCCACTGCCCCGAGATCAGAGACCCGCAGGGATGGAGCTTTCCTAAATCAAACCCAAGCAGCCCAGCCTACAGTTTCTAAATCCATCCCCAGATCCAGTGTTTTGTGCCAGCCCGGTATGCTGAAGCCTTTCACAAGGAGAGAGGGAAGAAACGCAACCGAAAAGCAAACCACGCCACTACCTTAAGAAGGGGATAAAAATCCCTGCTGCCGCCCCGGAGCGGGACGTGTCCGCCGCACTCCAAAGCTCCCCGGGAAAGCTCGGCGCGATGAAATCAACAGCCTTCAACCAAGAAAACGGAGAGAAGGCAAAACACCCGTAACCGAAAAAAAAAAAAAACAACCAACCCCAAACCCGAACAAATAAAAACAAAACAAAAAGCCCCAGCAGAAAAGCCGTGCGTCTTTACAGCCGGATCTCTGAGCTGTACTGCATCTTAAAGCCCATCTCCCTCTCTACGGGACTTACCACAAGCGTGCAGCACAGGAACTTGTTCATTGTGGTCGGTGGAAGAAACCTCAGCGCGCTGGGCAATCAGGCGGAGAGTCAGCTCCCGCTCCAGTCTCCTAGCAGCCTGCCTGCATCCCCCAACATTAAAGACACGATATATATATAGTCCCGGTGTAACAGGAAGCTTTGGCTCAGCTTTGATCACTCATTCCCTACCATGACCAAACTTTTCTCTCTCACTCGCTCTCCCCCTCTTTTTTTTTTTTTTTTAAGGAACCTGCAAAACTTGATGACTTAATGGAACCCTTTGAGCGCTGTAACCACAAACTGGAAAATGCAGGAGGGAGTGTCGGGGGCTGGCCAGGGGAGGGTTTAATTGGGCTCTGGCTGGCTGGCGGGCTGTCCCCC